TCTGTCTCTCTGTTGCTGCTTTTTAATAGGATGTATGCAGATTTTGTTGAGTAGGTTCCCTTCGATTCATACTTCCACCTCCAAGAGTCTTATTGTCATTATTCCAACTTGTTCCCATGCAGTAGCCTGTTAAGATCCTGCACAAGGGTATTTTCGCGTCCTAACAATTCCCGACTCTAAGTCCATTTCCAAATCCATTCTCCATTTCTCCATTCACCCATATTTTTAACTAAAGCTTCCTTATCTTTTGCCAATCTAAATAACCTATTGAATTTCTCCCTAAAAGGCGCATCCCCACACCATTTTTCATGTCAAAACAAGGTATCATTCCCTTCCCCCACTATTTTTACTAATCCCTTCTACACCCATCCCTCATTACTTCCTCTTTCTTTATCTAATTTCCACAATGCCTTCCACCAGTAGAGCTATTAATTTTCACCTCCCTCCCCTCCTAGTCCCTTCTCCTATGAATCCCATATTTTTCCTCAATTACCCTATTCCATAAAGCTTCTTTCTCCACCACCAATCTCCATTGCCACTTTCCTAAGAGTGCCATGTTAAATATATCCAAATCCTTAACACCTAATCCCCTATCCTTTTTACTAGTGCATACTTTCTCCTAACTAACCCATGCAATCTTCCTATCCCCCCCCCTTTACCTCCCCATAAAAATGTTCTTTGAATTGAGGATAGAAGTTTAATTACATTTTTAGGGGCTCTCATGGTAGAGAAGAAATAGACTGGGATACTGTTTACATTCATTTGTATTTGGGTAGAGGCTACTTTATTACTTCTCCCTCCTTAATCCTTTTTCAAATCACTAACAAACAATCTTGATGCTATCGTGACTTACTTATACAAGAACAAAATAACCATATAGATGCAACAAAGGTTGTTTTTGTTGAAAATATTTTTGTCTTAAATATTTTTGTCTTCTTGGTACAATGGGGTGATAAATGTCATTCATTACATATAGCCCTTAGTTGAGCTATTTACCTCTTTTCTTGCTAGTAGTATTATCTATTGACAAATCACTTGTAATATGTATTCTTGGTGGTTTTTTTTTTTTTTTAATTCCTAGAGGTTGATTTACAAATTGAAGAATCAAGAAATAAGAAAAACAATGTGTTTTTTTTGCAATGATAGGATCGTTGCAGATAATTATTTTTTTCAAGAAGTTTATCTTTTTCTTCTCATTTTTGTATATATCACTATTTATGAACTATTTAAAATTTCCTAAATGTAGAAACTAATATGTGGATTTTATTATTAATTACTTTACCATTTGTATGTACTTGTCAAAGCAATTGTGTAGTTTTAAATGTTGACTTCTTTGTCAACAGGTAACCATCTTTTGAAAGGAATTACAAGTTGTGAATACTTAATTAATTATTATGTTTTTTTGGGTATAGAGATGGTTTGTTCAAGCTAGGGAAATAAAAAGGCATAGTTTAAGGAGCATTACAAATTGCGTCTAAAAGCTAATGACAACTATATCTATGTTTATAAATTTGTGTTGTTATGTGATTCCTTCATCTTGAACATTTTGGAAGAAGTTTATCATTATTATACTCAAATGTTGAACAATTATACATTAATTTTTATTAAGTCATGTTAGTTTCGAATAACTCACTTATATTACAATTCCTACTATGTTTTGAGGGGAAAGGTAGACACTTTTCTTTATTTTTATGAAATATAAGAATTTGATTAACTACATTTAAAATATATCTCTTATGTCAATTGGGAACCATTACTATTCTCTTTATCTTAAAATAACTACTATTAAATTTTTTCACTTATTAAAATTTGTAGAGAATTTAAGTTTTTTTTAATTGTATTACCCTTAAAAAAAAAATTTGGTGATAAGTGGAGAGTTAAAGTTATAAACAATAATCATAATGTTAGAGTAGGAAAAAAATTGTCTATCTTAAAATATTGAAAAACAACAATGAATTAAGAACAACTTTTGAGTAAAAAAGTAAAGTTGTTTTGGAATAGAAAGATTACTAAGAATCATTCTATTACCAAAATAAATATTAAGAATAATCATTAATTAGTAGTAACTACCTCAAACATAGAAAAGATTTCTGTTATTGTGGTTTTGCTTATTCCAACCCCCTTGCAAATGAAAACTTCAAACTACTTGATATGGAACAAAAATGTCTCTCTAACACTATAAACACCACAAACTGAGGGTTGTCCTTAAGAGAATAAAAAATTTTGAGTTGCCATGCATCTTAACTCAAAAAGATTTTAGTATTAAAAATCAAAACTCAAGTTGAGGCTTTGATACCAATTATTGAACCAAAAGATGGCAACCCATGAGGGGGATGATTTGGTTTCTTGAAAACCTATCCAATTTTTTAATTTAAATTGATGAACAAGCAAATGAAAGCATGTGCAAGTAAACTAAATTGTAGAAATTAAAAGAGGGCAGAAGAAAAAATCAAACACAGTGATTTATATTAGTTTGGTCACAATTTGTGCCTAGTCAATTCCTCAAGCCTATTACTTGAGAGTTAGGTTTGAGTTCAAACATTCTCCTCCAACTTGTGGGCTTAGAGGCAACCATGCACAATAGTTTTGTCGACACTATTCACCTTTAACAACTCCACCCTCATTACAATCTCTCTCAAAACTCAATCCTAACCACTAGGAAGGTTTTCTAGATCCAACAAAGATTTCCCCCAAACACTCCCCCACTCTTGAAAGAGTAACAAACATTGTTGATCACTTATATGATCTAATAACAAGGATGAAGCACAAAGGGAAAGGTTGAAACTTTGTAAGCTTTTCTCAAGAACACACTAGGGTTCACTTAGTTGCCACTACCTTCTCTAGAATATCTTTCTTAACCCTCACAAACAAATCTGAATCAAACTAGTGTTGTAGTTTAGAATGGAAAGTCCTTCATTTCCTTTTGTTTCAAGATTCCATTGAAGATTCTAGAGCTTTTTTGATTTGTTTTGGAACTCCTTGCATTCATGAGAAGGTTAAAGAACACATTCAAATACTTGATTTAGGCAATCTTTATAATAGGAAATATGTCTATAACTATGAAGTTTAAATCTTGCAAAACTGGAGAATTCCGTTGGGTGTGATATTCAAATATGGCAACACAATATTGAGCCAAGTAAATATATTAAAGATGAGATCAAATATCTTCGAAAAGTAAAATGCGGCTTTTTTCAAGAACTTGTTTCTAAGTGTAAATGTAAATACTTTAAGTTTGAATATATTGGCAATCGTTGATTTAAAAACTTGTTTTCCAAATCTTCCAATTTACACATGATTTTAGTAATGATAAAAAATTAAGAACTACAATTTCAAGTTATTAACCAGTAGCATATATGATGTCTGCTACCACTAATTTTGTACCCTTTGATTTTTTTTTTTTTTCACTTTTCATTATTTCTCAATTTTTATCTGTGAAATGCATGAGGCTAAGAGGCTAAGAGGCTAGAGGAAAGCATTAACAAAGGCGTCACCTTTGCATACTTTCATTAGCCCAAACCTCGACTGATTTTAATTAGCATTTGCAACCTGGTTTGGAATGGAGAGATGGTTATCTTTGTGAGAAGTCAATTGGGCAAAATCAAGGCAAGCTTTAATTCAACATAAGGACTTTATAAATTTTCTTTCTATTAATTAGATAGATGGTTTTTCCTTTTAATTTTTGAAAAACCTTTTTAAATTAGAGGAAAATCTTTCTCCTTTTTTGAATTGAATAATGATAGATGGGACCAAAATTTAGGACCAAAAATGAGATTAATGACGTGGCGTAAAATATTAAAAAGTGAATCTTATATTATTTAATGATTGATTTTTTTTTTTTAGCACCCATAATATTATATGAATTAACTAATTTAATAATGTAACTTAAGTTGCATGATATTATTTAATGAGTTCAAGTCGTATGGCATGCGGGTGGAGTGGGATAAGGGATGGGAGAGGGTTACCTTCCATTATGTAACCAACATCAAATAAAAAAATGTGTCTTATGATGTGACTAAGTCACTTCATTGGTCTCAAATTTTCATCCCAAAATTTCATTCTTCTTATTATTATTCTTTTGAATAAGGTGATGGACTTGTTGTATATACACCAATAATTTGTATCTTATTGGTGAATTATACTAAATAAGCTAATAGTAATAAGTACTACTAAATAGGAGCTTCTCGGCTCAGATTCACTTGTTTGAGATCTTAATTAGTCCCAGTTAAATTTAGGGATAATTCATAGTGGTTTTAAGTATATCTCTTTTTCATAATAATAATAATAATAATAATGACCATTTATTAAATATTAGAAAGTCATTTAATTCCATGCCCTTAGAGTGAATGATGTTGTTGCTATACCTTTTTATTTTAATTGATTATCATATCTTTTAATTTATTAAAAAACAAAAAAATATAAAATTTTGAAAAAAAGTGTAATTTAAGTGTATAATAGGTAATTACATTAAAAGAGTGTGCTATTACCAATATAGAGTGGAGCAATAACCCCTTCCCTTATTTAGTTAAGAGTCTAAGTTTCTAACTTAGAGATCTAATGTTTAAATTTTGAATTGAGTGAAGAAGCATTTAAAAAAAAAAAAAAAGGATTATACATCCCCTCGCCTATGTAAATATATATATATACTAGTATTTCTACACATGCTCTGTACGTGAGAATATTCTAAAGCACCAACTTGTACTACCAAAATTTTCCTTCGCCAAAATTCAAAATTTCAAAATTTTGCCATTAGTTAGAGAACCTTAAAATATCTCAATTAAATAAGCGAATACTACATAGAAATACTCTCCACAAATTGGACATGTAGTCAATGTTTTCATATGCTCCCATAGTATAAAAAGCAGTTGTTAACACAAGTATCAATTTTTAGATAACCTAACCTAAACCCTTTCATAAATTTTTTTACTTCATAAAAGTTTGCAGGAATTTTTTCTTGATCTTTAGCACTTAATAACCTCCTACATCCTTTGAGAATGGTACTAAAACCATTATCAGTTATATTATTTGCAGTCTTTGTATGCAACATATAAGAGAATCAGTTGAGCACCGTCTCATACCTCTTAGAACTACCAAGTGGAATTGTAGATGCATGAAGCAAGTCATAAAATGCCTTTGTTTGATTGTTTGGTTCCTCATCTAGACGTTGATTGGGGAAATTATCTTCCATTTCTCGATTATCATCATCCTCTGGAAACAATGCATCATACACCGTTTCATGAAAGTCAATCCTTTCATCATGGTGTGTATCTTGGATGTGTGATGATTCTCCCAAATTAACAGCAAACCGTGGATCTGTTGAATTCACAAATGTCTCACCATGCGCCCACCAAACAAATTAAGCATTCATAAAACCATTCTTAGTAAGATGGTCCCATACCATTCCCCAAGTCATCAACGATAAATTAAAGCATTTAGGACAATGACATTTGATTAAATCATTCAGTTCAAGACCAAGGCTATTATATGCAAATTGAACGAAATGTTCAACTCCATTATAGAACTCATCATATATTTCTTCTCGTGGAGTTTGACGCCTATACATCCAACTACGATCCTCCATAATCTTATTAAATCAATAAAATAACAATAATAACATGATTAGTTTCAAAATAATTATAATATCTTCCATATATTTTATAGTTGGTTAAAACCCCAATTTATCATACATATATATATATAAATATGTTAAATTTATTCATCAACAAAATTCATCATACACAAATTATT